TTGCAATGTGTCCCCACCTTCTCTGGCTGAGCCATACAAGCCAGCTCTGTACTAAGTCCAGAACTAATAAAACATGGTTTCCTTTCTTTGACAAACCTGCTAGAAAAGCAAGTGGCAGTGTCTAATGCAAACAAAGCACTAGGGCAAAGTGTGGGATTGTTTGGTTTGTTTCTAGGTAGGCAAGAAAATTGGGTATTATCAGTAAAAACACCCCTGCTTAGTTGTCCCTGGGCCAATCGCTTGTGTCTTGCCCTGGATAAAGCATGTTTCCTGAAGTTGGACAGAGCTGCAGCTCAGTTCCTAGCTCAGCTTCTGAGGGTCTTCCTTGATCAAAGACTTGCCAGCTGTGCCAGGCTTTCAACATCGGTGTGACCTCTGGCCCCAGCCAGCCTTTCCTGAGCTGAGAATTTTAAGCCCTCATGCTAGGGTTGAACCCTATACTGAGAGATGGGGTGTTAATTGTGAGGTGGTACCTATATGCTGCCTATAAAGTCTTACTAAAGTTTTACTAAGCACCGTTTGCTTTCAAAGTCAGCCGAACTCGTCTGGAGCCCCATGACCTTGTGTACCTTTTTAGATCTCGCCTGTTTTCATACAGTTGCAGCCGCGCACCTGTAACAAGTCGCGATACAGGTTTCTCAACTATCTGCAGGTATGAAAGCTTCAATACAAGCGCCTTCAGTTGACCCGTAGGTAAGCCCTGGAGGTAAGAAGTAGGTTTCAGCAAGCTCAGGTGAGACTTGCCACGAGAGGGAGACATCATGCACACAGCCCATGTGTTCCCTGAATACATCCACCTAAGACAGCCTAGCCTGGTATTTTGTAACATGTCTGGACACATGCAGCTGTTAGTGAAGCAATGATGCCTTCGGACCTCAGTTGTGTGGTAGGTACCTGTGATAGAAAACAGGGACTTATCTTTTAGCTAGTCATCATCTTCCAAGCATCTGCAGCATGACTAACAGCTGCAAAGCACACAGAAAATGGAATCTAGATGTGCTAGCAATGGGATAGCACATGTCCAGGCCTCTCTGGGTCAGGTCAGGGAGATCCTGGTGCGAGCAGGACCATGCAGCACCGAATGAGATTTTTCAGATACCCACAGCTGGCTGGTGAGGCCGTTCCCTGTTCATACTGCAAACAGCCATTACAAAGGCTGAACTACACCCTGTAACCAGCTTCGGCAGGCTGGGCTGGCGGGAATGTTTGCACAGAGCTGTGAAAACACAGCACTGTGAGCACCCAGCTGCTGTGGCACCCGGGATGCCTGCCGCCGCTCGGGAGAGCTCCTTTGCTTCCTCAGCACCGGCCAAGAGATTTCATGGGAGAAAAGGCCTGTTCAGTGCACATGGGATGGCTTCATTTGCCCTCCAGAGTGCGTCAGCTTTTCCCATGGCTGCAGCACAACGGCGGGGCTCTGTTTTCCTTTGGGAAGGGAAAAAGCTGCTTCATCATTGTGATCTCTGTGCAGTGTCCTGTTGATAAGATCAGTTAACAGCATCGGAGGAAAACTCTAGATTCAGGTCTGAAATATAAAGTGAACGGGGCCTATTTGTTTAATTTGAGCTTCTAAGGTTTAAATCCCAGAGGAAATTAAATTAGGTGCCTAGAGCAATGGCAGTCTGTCATGTTTATTTGCTGGGAATGTCACCTTTAATATCATGCACATATAACGTGTGTGTGTTAATGTAATGGGATATCATACTGTGCAGGAGCAGGCATGCTACAAGAACTGGAAACCTGAAATATTGTGAGTGAGGGAAGCTGAGATGGGATTGGATTTATTCTCATCCTTCTCCATAGGAGCAAAGACTCACTCACCAGCATGAAGGTGGTTTTGCTGATTGCAGGTGGGGATGGCAGCCTGATCTATGAGCACAGGCCTTAATGCTCTTGGGCCATTTTGATTGGGCTGCTTCTAAGAGGAGAAATCTTGTCTAGACGTGAATCCAGGATGACAATACTTCTTGCTTCAAAGCCCTTTTCAGCAGTTGGTGTGCTGCGGACACATGCCTTCCCCCTGCATCCCCAGGAGAGCTCAAGAGTGCTGGTTTCCTGTGCCAAGGGACATGGCTGCTTGTACATTTGGTTACACCCGTGCTTCGGAGGCTCCCTTCTTCTCCAGGAAGGAGAGCAGGTCTCCCCAGCAATGTGGGGTAGTAGGGTTTGGGGTGGTTTTTTTCTGGCGTGGGCTGTTAAGGACAGTCTCTTGAGTTGACACACTGTGTGAATGTCACTGCAGCAGTTTGTCATTGCAGCCTGTGACGCCTGCCCTCCACCAAAGTTAACTGTCTATGCAGGGCTTGCAGAACAGCACTGCGATCTTTTCTCAGCACGCTGCATAGAGCAGGCTGCCATTGCTTTGATCCCACAAACACGGTCCATGAGACAGTCGAGCTGTGAACTCCTGTCCCACTCCACTTGTCAGATCCTTCAGGGAGCCAGTTCAGCTCACTACATCAGTGGAATTCGATTTTTTTTCAGCTGGATTACCAAAATTCACTGAGAGGGGGCAGTGAGCTGCAGATGGGCGCAGCCGTCTCAGGAGGTTACACCCCAGGTCACTGCTAGCCACAGTGTTCCACGTAGGTTTGTCCCTACTCTTGGAGTCTGTGGCTTAGCCGGGACCTGACCTGTCCCTCGCCCTTCACTCTTTCCACCCTTTGCTGTTTACCTCTACATACCCTGTCTTGTTTTCCTCCAGCCTCAGAGCAGCTGGCTGCCTCACACACGTGGTTCCCATTTCTCTCCTGCCTCTGGCACCTTGGGAGCGCCCAGGGGTCTTCCTGCTGCGCTTGTCTTCTAGTCCCCCTGCCAAAGCTGCAGCTCCTCATTCCTGCTCTCTCACCCATCCCAACCTCTGGCATTTTTGCTCATCCGTGGATGGCTGAATATTCATTTCCTCCTTGCCTGATTGCTGTGAATACCAATTCCTCCTCCTTTTTCCGGCTGTTCTGTAGATTTTGATGTCTGCCAAATTGTTTTCATTCCCTCACCCCAATGCAGGCTGCACCTCCGCAGAAACCGATCTGCTCCATGCAGAGCCCCAGCTCCCCACCCAGCTCTTCCTTCTGAGCTGAGCGATCGGGTTGCCCTCCTGCCTCCGACACAGACAGACAGCTTCCTCCTGCAAACAGTCAACAAACAAGTGTCTCCAGTTCAACAGGCAGCATAGTTACAGGCTCCTGCAAGGAGACTGCAGTAGTTTGCGGTGGTACTGCGTGTTTCAGTGCAATGTTTCTCAGCTTGCCAGTCTGCAGATTGGTGCCAGGTTGCAGAGTCCTGTCCAAAGCAGCAAGCTCCTAGCTGAAGCAGGGTTTTTTCAGGCTCAAGGTATGATCAGAAAGGCCTGATGGAGGTGCCTGCATTCATGCTGAGCAGCTCGGTCATAAACCTGGAGTCTTCTGGAGAGGGAGGTTGCAGTTCCCTCATCTCCTGGGAAATCTGTGTGCAATGGCAGAAGGGTGGCAAGGTTGAAGGGGAGAGAACTGTAGACACGTGGTAGCTCTCGGATCTGGATTTGGTGTTTTCAGTTCTCTTCTCTTGCCAACCAAAGGAAGAAAGGGAGACCAGAGTCTTCCCTTTCTCTTTCTGTCCAATACCCCTGCTTGTGTGTTAACAAAATGGAACCCAGAGGCTTCCACTTGCCAAATAGCCCATGGCATCCTGGCGGTCACTCGCTCCCCACTGATGTTACTGGCACCAAGAAGCTGGTGGGCATGGGAGGTGGCTTCCTGCACAGAGGTGGGACAGGCTGGGGGCTCCTCTTCCAGATGTGAGTTGGAGGGGACAGCGGAGAGCAGTGGGGCTGGGCACTTAGCTCCATCAGTGTTTGGTGCTGCAGCGGTCCCTTTTCTGGGAGGGAGCACAGATCTCATGGCTGGGGAGAACAGGGAAAGGGGAGGCTGAGAAAGGGGGCATGGGTATGGTGTTTGCTTCAGGATGGAAAGCAATGGCAGAGACAGAGGAAAGGGTGGAGCAAAGGAAGGAAAGGAGGAGCAGAGGGGAAGAAACAAACCTGTAGGCTGAAATGGTAATAATCTGCTGGATACTGCTGCACCCTAACTCCCAGGAATGCTGCTCCAAGGCCCTGTCACCATGTGGGGATGTTTGCCTGGTCCCGCACTGCCATCTCTGCTCCTGTGCCAAGCCAGCTGGCCTGCCTGGAGCTCTGGCCTTTACGGCTGTTGTGAAGAGAGGCAGGACACGTTTGCTTTTGGCTATCATGTGCTTTTTTAAAGAGGGTGGGAGTTCCTCCCCTTGAATTCCTGGGGCTGGTTTGCCCCCCGGTGTCTCTGGTTTTTGTGACTTGGGGGGCTCTGCAGAGCCAGGGTTGTGGCCCTTAGCTGGGAATTTTGACCTGTTGGCAGCTGTTTTCCTGGGCTACGTTGTGCTTGCCAGCCTGGCCTTGAGATGAGCCAAAAGATTTCCCAGCACAGTCACGTGGGATGGGCATATACGATACAATGTGGAGGTGCCTAGCGCGGGCACCTCTGGGAGTACCTCCCGTACCCAGCATCTGGTTCATCTGAACAATGTGCTGCACTTGGGTCAGAGCCCTCCCCGTGCCCAGAACACCAGCTCTGTACGGGTCTCGGGCTCTCCCTGCGCTGCTGTTTCCTGATTAAACTGTGAGTTTAACTTCAATGGATCAGATCAAAGCGAGTGTCTCCCACTGTCTCTCCAACAGTTGTTATCTTGATCCCTTTTCCTCCTTCCCCACTCTGTCTGCCTAAAGCTGAGCCTCTAATTTTAGACTGAGGAAGATAATTGAGGGTCAAAAAAGATTGCTATATAATTTTAACTTTTTTTTTTTCAGTGGTTGGGGTAGGAGGCAAAGTTAGGAGCTCCTTGCCCTCAAACCTTTGTATTGAGGGAAAGAAGGACATAGGGGAAGGAGTGAGCTGGTACAGTCTGCTCTCTGCAGAAGTTGTTCTGTTTCTTTGCAGTTAGCTAAAACTATGAGTGTAAAGGCATAAACTACTGTATTTCCTTTGCAGATCCTATTGACCGAAGAGTTCGTAGAGAGAATGCTGGAAGATTTAGAAGATCTGAATTCTCCAGAGGAAGTAAGGCTGCGTCATTCCCATATCTCCCATGTACTGTCCCAGAGACCTCAGCCCGTCCTGCAGCTTGCCTTTGATCCTCCCCTCAGCTCACAGGCTGCAGCCCTGCCCCATAGACTTGAGGCCTTGCTAAACCTTCACATCTGCTGTGAACTAAGGCATTGAGAGAAGGGATTGCAAGAAATACAAGGCAGGGATGGGTATTAAGGGACTCTCTGCGTTTCCTTTCTGCTGGCATCTTTCCTAACGTGGTATCTGAGTGCCCTGAATCAAAGCAGTGCAGCCCCTGGGCCAGGGGCTCCAGGGTCCTTGATGCCGTGCATAGAGTCCTCAGCAGCATCTCTAGGCACATCACCTTCCCCACTTTCAGAAAGGGTGAAAGCGGTAGCAGCACATTTACTGCTGAACAATCTGTTGTAGGGGGCCTCCTTTTTTGAGTTTGGGGAGCAGGCGGGGGCTTTTTCACATCTGCTACTTGGCCTTTACCTGCTGCCCCTGCACAGCGTGCAGAGGACCATCACCAGCTTGGAAGCGTTATAGCAGCAGCCAAGGGAGCTTTATAAAGCTTTGCTGTGCGGTACTAAACTTCCCCCTGCCATGTGATCTCTTCCTGGGGAACATTTAACACCCTGTCTCCCATGCATGCCATATAAATATTCTGCTTGACTTCAAAGAGCAGTGGCAGAAGTGACATGTAATATTTTTAATCCCATTTTTTACAGCTCCCTGCAGATTCTAAAGAAACTTTCCTTGGCTTGTAGAGCAGCCCTCCCATCCCTTGCCCTGCTCCCCTCCCCCCAGGAAAATCTCAGGGCTCTAATTGTTTAATCCAGAGTTGATTTAATGCCAGGGTGTTCTTCACTGTGTGAGTGAGGGGAGCACACTGTTGGCTGTGCAGTGACTTTCAGGCCAGCTTTTATCCAGTTAAACCTAATCCAAAGCTCATTTTTGCTGGTGACATGGAAGCCCAGGAACACTTTGGTTTGAAGGCCCTTCAGTTAAGGCTTTGGATGGCTCATGTTCCTTCACTCTCCACTGAGAGGCAGAGGCAATGAGCGTGGCAGCTCCTGGCACAGTGACCGGGTGTTCGGTTCCGAGTTACTGTGACTTTGCTAAATTAAAAAGTGAAAAACAAACAAATGCAAAGGATGACTTCTCCAAGAGGATTGCTTTGGAACCACTCCTGTTTATAAAAAGGAAAATACTTGAGATGAAATGTGATCTTTCAGCATCCAGATTCCTCCAAGGATTTGTAACTTGCAGGATCCCAGTTTGGGCCAACTGAAGGCGTTCCTCAGCAGCCCTGACTGTTGCTGTTGATATTCATGTGCTAGAATGAAGCACTGCAAGGAGAGTCTTTCCTTTGCTGCATAAAGAGCCACCTGTGTTAAGTGAAATTAAGTGAAATGATCTGTCTGACTATCTTTAGCATGTTTTTCACATACCCTAGGCACTGAACTCAGAAGAATCCCCTGGGCAGTGTAGGGCCACTAGATTATATGGTACAAGCTATACACAGGGCTTGAGTTTAAAAAAAACAACCGTAAGTGGGACTTGGGCTGTTTATGTTTCCTAGAGGAGAAAGAGTGGGAGTTTATGGTAGCCACTATCCTGAAGGATCCTCCTGCCATGCTGCCAGATCATGGGTCAGACCCTGAACTGCCAGCCCGGCATACTAAGGTCAATGGGTACCAACTGCAGGTTACCCTCGTACACAGCTGCAAATGGAGCAAGGTCAGGAGAAAATTCATGTTGAACCGCCCTTGCTGCAGAGCAGCCAGCTGGAGGGGATCTCCTTTAACAGGAACCTGTCACTGAGCATGTGTTAATGTCCTTCAGAAACGGGGCGCTTGTGGGAAGAAAGACAAGTAATTGGATAAAGATGGATGATTCGCAGGTCACTGTCCCCTTGCACCAACTCTCTAATTCATGTAGCCCCTGGGAACCTTATGGCACTGCTGGCCTTGGTCTGAGGACTCTGCTAGGAGAGGACCACTGTATCTGTAACTGTTCTGAATTGTCACTGGTGGTGTGGGATCCCAGTGAGATTCCTCCCTGGGAGTCCTGTTGGGGCGTCAGGCAGTGCTACACCATGGGTGCAGCAGAGTTTTAAAACCAAAATCATCCTGCAAACCAGCTTGCAGAGCTGTCCCCCATGGGTTTTGGACTCTCAGTCTGGGTGCTGGGATTGTGTGAAATGCTTGTCCATCCAGCTGTGGGGCAGATCTGTAGCCTAAAAGATTCCACACCCCACCTCCCACACACACCCCCCAGAGCTGTTTTTGAGAGATCTGTGTGAATGCATGGGCCCTGGTCAAGGGTGGTTGTGAGAAGGTTTGGTGGTAAGGCTTCTTGGACCTCTATCCCCACACAGTCATGATTGGGATCAGAGATGTTGGGGTGACTTTCCAGCCTAAGACAGGGTGCCCTGGAGCAACATCAGGATGGGAACAGTGCACTTGCCTTGTTTGGGAAACATTGGCCAGAGACAGTGCAGTGTAAACCAGACTGGGGCAAAAAATCTCTGTTCCCTGTGCTTCAATCAATGTTTGCAAAACAGCCTGAGCAGCCGAGTGCCTGTGTGAATATGAGACATTGTATGGGTGCTCTGCAAAGCCTTTGTACCAGAGGTGGGTAGGGCTGGAGCAGAAATGCTGTTCAGGCACGCTGGCTCTCCCCAGCCACGATGGCACAGTTTGCCTTCCCAGAGCTGGTGGCCATTTGCAAGCCTGTCAACCAGCAGAGCTGCGCTAGCTGACGTGCATCCTACCCTGTACGAGCAAGAGTTTGAAACCTGCCATAAGACTCCCTTTAAAGCAAAGAGGGGGCTCTGGGGGCTGGGGTAGGTGGAAGGAAAGGCACATGGTCAGATAGGAGGGGAGATACTTGTGCTGCAAATTTTTGGAGAGGTCGGGGGGGGAAATGGTGATGGGGGCAGAAACCCTCCAGAATCCGTCTGATGAAATAAACAGCACTTGGGCTGAAAACTCAGAACTTTATTTTGGCAGCTGAGGCACAGGCCACGTTATCTAACGTCCACTGCTATCCAAAACATACTGATGGGGAAATGTTTTCTTAGTGGCCTCTTGTTTTAAAAAATAATAACATGGGGCTGCCTGCCTTTGCCACGATTTTGTTTTTTCTGTGCAGGTTGCAGTGATATACATTAACTGATACTCTTTACTGTCTTACAGTTTAAACTTCCAAAGGAGTACAGCTGGCCTGAAAAGAAACTGAAAGTTTCCATCTTGCCAGATGCTGTGTTCGACAACCCGCTGCATTAGAGCTGAATTACACCCTTCTAACAACTGGGAGAGCCAAGTTACTGTCCATTACCCAGTGACTCACAGGATAATTAATGCAGTAAAAACTCTGCCTGCAAATAAAAGAGTTTGCTGCACAACCACTGCGAGCAGAAGAGGAGCTACTCAGCACCAGCCCAGACCGAACTGAGCCCTTTCCTTTATCCTTCCCAAGGCTGAGCTCTCTGGGAACAGCCTGCGTATGTGTGAGTGCGAGTGAGAAATATTTAACTATGAAAATTAGTAGTAAGAATCCTTTCTCCTAGCTACAGAACTCCCCTCTGCCTTAGCCCAGGGTGTAGACGCTCTGCACGCCTGTATTTACACATGCATTTCTGCCAGGTGTGAGCCTATAATCCATGGATTAAATGTTCTTTACGTGACTCTGGAGTCCTTTTGTTAGCCAAAATTTTACTGACTGCAGAACTGTTCTTCCATGTGCTATTTTTTTTTCTTTTCAGAAACGGAATGGTATTTCCCCTGTTTAAAGGAGGCCAAAAGCTCACATGCTTGAAGCTGAACAGATTTAAAGATGAACTTTCTAGTTCAGTCAAGAAAAACAAACCCAGATCCTCCCTGCCCTCAAATTAGGCATGTTTTAAGTGTTGGTCTTGGTGCTATTAGCTATGGTATCGCTGCAAACAGAGGCAACTTTATTCTCGCGCATCCTGTCCTTGTGCCTGAACCCCAGGGAAGGTCGCAACCTCTGGTTTTGCACAAGCAGGAGGAAGAAAGCTACCGGGGCGGGGGAGATCTCCTGTTTACAGTGTGTTTATCTTTAAAGAGATACTGTCAAGTATTTTTTCCTTGCTATTGTACAGAATTTGAGAAGCTAGAAAGGACCATTTGTTCACAGGGACAACTTCAGCAGCTCTGCAGGATCCAGGGGGCTGCTTGAAAGCGTATGAAATGGAGATCTCTGCTGTCCTGGCATAGCGGAGAGGAGTCTCAGCCTCAATAAAGCCAGCTATTCTCCCTGTTCCAGCAGGGTTGTGCCCTAGTGCAGCTCAATTTTCCCCTCTAGCCTCGCTGTGGTGGCTCTCGTTGTTGCTGACTTCCCTCCTTTCAGACAGATTTGAACTGTAAAGCATCAAAATCAGTTTGAAAAGACCCTCTCTCTAGATCTGTGTGGCTTCCTCCTTGGAGCAAAACGTTGTATGCGGAGGAGACGGTCTCTGCAGGGTCAGGTTGTGTCTCTGCATCGAGATGCTGGCTCCTGTGGATATGCTGCAGCAAACCACCGCAGGCTTTGCCCCCTGCTGCTGTTGCAGGTTGTTTCTGATGCATATTCCCCAGCCTTCCTCTGCCCATTGTCTTTTGGTGATGACTCTTCACTCCTTGTCAGGGGAGATGCAGCTTTCCTTCCACCCCTTTCTGCCTACAAGATAACTTGGCGATTTATACACAATTGCTGTGTGATCATAATGCAAGTATAAAAAAAGCTTTTAACACTTAACTCCCCTGATCAAACAGGAAAGTCCAGGAGGCCTCACAGTACCCCAGGGTTGGTTTTCTGTTTGTTTTCTGATTTAATTTCTTCCTGGCACAGTCAGCTTTGATGTTTTTTGCATATATTTGAGACTGGTTAATGTTGGTCAAGAAGCAGAGCTAGGAGCCACAAAGCTTTCCTTGGACTTGCTACAGAATTCCTCTGTGGCCTCAGGCAAGTCACTCAATGTGTCTCTGTGCAGAGAGGGTGATTATTGACTAGAGGGCTGTAGGACCTACCGAAGCATGCCAGGGTTTGCAGGGGAGGGCGTGCTTTGTGTACAAAGTAGTATTTGTATTATTATAATTGTTGTTATATTATAATTTAAGGCAGGCCAAATGCAGGGTCCAACACTGCTCGGCAGAACCTTCCTTTCTGCAAAGCTACGAAAGCAATTTACATGTAAATGAGTTTGTCATTTTGTCTGAACTCAGAGGATCATCTTAAAATCCTGCTGCGAAAGAACAAACTTTCAGATATCTGCATGTGACAGCCAGAGTGATTTCTGTGCTGTGGCAGACTGCATTCATCCGTGGGATCTCTTGGCCAGTTTTCATTGTCCTGGTTAGCACTAAGCATCCCTTCTGCACTGTAGATGTATATGCAGGGGACAGCGTGGGTGAGAAAGCAGCATGAAAATGTACCAGTCCAGCTTCAAAAATGACATGCCCAAGTGTCCCACCACAAGATTATGAACAAACAGATGATTGTGGCAGTTGGGAAAAAGGCAAGGGCAGCAACTACAATTTTGTCCCAAAGCCATCCGCCAACAGTAGCCCATGGGCTGCTCTTGTACGAGCTTGCTGGGGGTGCCTGCAGCAGAGCTGGCCCATTGCCATGATGCTGGCTGCTCTTCCTTGTTTCCAGATGCTAGCTCTCATTAAAAGGAGCTTAAAATCCACATCTTGGTGGAGAAGGGACATTTGGAAGGTCAATTGTTGCTGTTCCTGCAGAGATCAGCACGGGGCAGAGAGAAGTCCATCAGACCCTCTCTGGGCTCTGACACACATCTGGAAAGCTTAGGACCTCCTGCCCTATGAACTCTTTGAGCCTTTGCAGCGGGGATGTGGTGCTGTACGCAGGGAAAGCACCTCCTCCAAGCTGGCTTGTGCTCCAGTTCTGCTTTTCTTGTGTGTATGTTTTCCTCACCATATTTACTCTCATCAGACGCTCTGGGTTGGGTTTTCATTGACTTCAGAGGGAGCATGCTGAATGCATTTGAAAATCCACCCAGTATCCTTGTGTATGTGTATTTTTGTTCCATGTCATGTATTTATATATAGTTCTGTGTATTTGAGTTATGAACAGGTGGCATGCCAGAAATCTCTATTTCTGAGACACTTTCTCACAGATCTTTGCTGGTAGCCAGATAACAATTGAGGAGAAGGTTTGAAGGGAAGGAAGTTAAATCTTCCCATTTAGTTAAGGGGAAAAATATTAGATAAATAACTGCTAAAATAGAAATCTCTGTCTTATTGCTAGACCAACTGTAAGAGAGAAACTGGTGAAAGTCAGCCCTTAAGCTCCAAGCTTGTGTCGCTGCCTCTCAACAGTTATTTAAGAATAAGAAAGTTGCGTGTTACTCAGTATTGTGAAGAGCTGTGCACCCACAGGACCTCCCCTCCCCTGATTCACATCAAGTTTGCAACCATGCCAAAGGCTTACTCATTGGCAAGTAAATGAGATTTCAAGTTTGGATGTTTTCATCTTGGGGCAAGAGGACATGCCTGTGTGTGAAGGAAATGGAAAAGAAACCGTTGTATTTTAGTGAGCAAGTAGTTTGAAAAAGGGAAATGCATCAGTGTCAATAAACACCACGTTTTTTTTCTAGTCCAAACTTGCTGAGATGGTAGGTCCACTAGTGCTGATTTTTTTCCAGATTGTGTAGAAGGTCTGAAGCAGGATTGTATGAAACCAAAACCTTTGAGGCTTCTGTTGGCTAAAGATAGTAATGGAAATGAACACAATTTAGAAGCAGCAAGTAGAGGTTTTCTCCCTCCTGGAGAAATCTTGCGATGCAGATCGATAGGGATATTTCCAGAGATGAAGAGCCTTATGGCAGACCTGCAGAGCCTTGAAAATCCAACATGTGACAGCAATTCTGAAACAAGAGAAGTCCCAAAAGCCAGGACTACTCTCCTTCTCAACTTGTGATTAAAAACAGAAGAAGGAATGTATAGTTTCAATATTAAAGTATGTGGGATACGATCTGAGCAGAGCAGTCAGTCTTGTAGCTGATGTGACCTACAGTGATATTTTCAGTGGCTTAGATAGGTGGTGCCTGCTGTGTATAATGTCTTTGAGGATGGTGATATATTGGTTTTACTGTACATAGATTTGCCAACAGTGATTTGAAATGATATTCTGAAGCTCTTCACTTCAAATATTCAGTTGCTCTTGGATGGCTTTTGAAATGACACCATCGGGTCATCAAATGGTCTTTGAAGAAGTGGGGGTTGTGTTGTTTTTCATCTGTGACCAGTAGAAATATTTAGGGGGTGTAGCTTTTAAAAAAAACAAAACAGTTGAAAGTGATGCTTGGCTTGGAGGGGGCAGATTGCTGGGGAGAGGTTGTGTGGTGGGGGAGCAAGTTAGCAGGCTCCCTCCTGCACCCACAGCTCCGGCTTGTTCAAGGCAGTGCAGTCATTATGCATCTCAGGCACTGCAATGGGAGCTAACGTGGGTGCAGGGAAGTTAGAAACCAAAGTGAGAATCATCAAGGCCTCAGCACAGCATGGGGGGCCTGCAGGCAAGTCCTCGTTTCTGTGCCAGGACCCACTGAGGTCCTGCATTGGTGCAAGGAGCCGGCCATGCACATCCTACTGCATGTTCACACTCTGGCCTGTACCCGCCGCTGATGGTAGAGACTGCAAATGGCTGCGTCAGCTGCATCTGAGGTTGAGTCAAAGATGGGGAGTGGCAATGTGGCTGCTTCAGTCTCCTTTGTTATTCTGGTTAGTGTGAGGTGGGGAGCGGAGCTCGTGCTCCGCTGCCCCTCATGAGAACCTCCAGGCTGGTCACTGAGTGAGCTTTATTGCTCGCCCACCGTCCGCTCCCTTCATCAAATGTCCCCCCAGCTCCTCACAAAAACCTTTCTCAGATGCTTCACTGGAAAATGTTTGGCTGACTGCATGCTTCGCAGGACGCTGTGTTAGACGACAGGTCGGCATGGGATCACGGCTGCTCGGCTGTTTATCTGTCCTGATGACTACTCCCTCCTCCTAGGTAGGCATGTAGAGTCCATGACCCATTTTGCCGGCTTCTGTCTGGCTGGGGCAAGGCAGCGTCATGTCAGGTGGGGAGAAATGGTCCGCAGACCTTCAGGTCAGAGGAAACCCTTAGACCTGTGTGTCTGATTGTCCCCTAGCCCAGGGCACAGCCTTGCACCCTGTGGCTCTGCTGTATGAAGTCTTGGGCTTCAGCTCCTACAACATCACAGCCAGGTGAGGAGAGGGTCCAGCAACATGAGAGCCCTTCTGCCTCCCGGGGACTTGGTCCTCTACGTGACTGCCCTCCATTTAGAGTGTATGTTGTGCCTTAATTCTCCCCGTGAGTGAAGCTGTGAGGGCAGATGAATTGTCGAGCAACCGGGAATCCCTTTCTGTGCATCTGTCCCTATCGATAAATGCCAGCCTGTGCAGCAGCCAAACTGTATCCAAAACAATCTCGAAATGCACATTTGCCAGTGGGGTTCACCTCCCAAGATTTTAAAGCTGGATTTAGGTCTCTGGGACCGTGGCAGTTTTTAACGAGCTCTGTAGCAACCTACTATTTTTATAACATTTTTTCTGTTGTGTAGTGTTTGCTTCTTTTCTTTTCTTTAAAAAAAAAACAACCCTTGTGTTCTACATGAGTCCAAAATTTCAAATGGAGAATAAGCCTGAGGTTGCAAATGTGTTTTAAACCCGGCCCCGCATTGACCTGTCTCTCTCAGGCAGTGAACCTGTCGTGTGTCGTGCTTCACCACCTCTTCATTTCTACCATGATTCTGTTTCCCCTAAAATGGCTGACAGACCATAAAATCATCATAAGTGGCACATCAGTTCAGAGACATCATTTCTAGTCTGCCGTGAAGGTAGCCCCTTCCCTTTCCCTCGCTGAAAGACCACGGCATCATTCACCGTTCAGCTCATAGGGCCCTGATAGCAGGAGAGGAACATCAGCTCAGAAAGGGCTGCACATGGCAGATGTGGCTGGCCAGTGCCTGGTTGTTTTTAAACTGTCCTGACGATGTGTCTCCCCTCTTTAAAAAGAGGAAGAGAGAGGGGAAAAAACCCAATCTCGAAAAGCCGGAGGAAAATTTCCAGCCGATTGTTGTGTTTTGCAAACACTGGTCTTTTCTCTCGCCTTCTCTCTCCACTCCCGGCGAGGCTGGAGATGAAAATGGCTCCTTTGTTCCTTTCCCTGGGGCCCAACTGCAGCGAAAGTGCGGCTCCGGAAACCCTCTGCTGCACGAGCGGCGAGGGTGGGAGGGACCGAGCTGTCGCCGTGTGCGGTAGGTCCTACATAAATACGGCATGTGTTGACAATGCCGCGGGCAGGATGGGCGCAGAAGGACTTTGCCATGCTGGCAACGAAGCTCCTGCGCCGTTCCTCCTGCGGCAGCAAGCGGGCTGCGAAACCCGCAGGGGGCAGAGGAAGGGGAGGTGGGTGTGAGTGGCCGTGTCATCCCAGCAGTGACTGATCACGGGCTGGGGGGCTCTGGGCCCTTTTGTTCTTGGCTTATGGCTTTCCCCAAAGTGGCAATTTGCAGCCCCATGGAAGCAGACGGCATCCCGCTGGGGGCTTATACTGATGCCCTGGCCCCTGCGCCGGGATGCTCCCTGCACCCATGCGGCCCTGGCGTCCCAGTGCTCCGTGTTTGGCCACGGTTATGCTCCAAACCCAAGTTTAGTCATTCAAAACCCTTCTCTCATCCAGCCCAGGTTGGACACGCCGGCTTTTCCCTTTTTTTAAAGGGGTGGATGTTTTTTCTGCTCACTGGGGATGCTACTTGTTTTGTATGCTGGACGGTTTCTGCAAAACCTAGAGCAAAGGCAAGCTTCCCAGGGTGGAGGACATGTGGGGCAACCGGGACCGCAGCGAACCCTGACCGCTGGGGCTGCCCTCGGAGCCCGGAGGTGAACCTTTCTGTAGTTCAGCCGTGTGTGTGTGCGAGTGTGTGCGGTCTGCGTGCGCAGGGTTGTGTCGAGCGAGGAGCCCAAGGATGCTACCGACGGGGCTGGAAGGAGCCCGCGTTTCTGCAGCCGGTGTATCAGTACCTTGTAGATGGCCTTTCTTCCCCCTCCCCTCCTCCTTTTTTTTTATAAAAGACAAAAAACAAATGGAAAGCTAAACTAGCAGAGGTTTTTAAATATTTTATATTAGTTTCTAATGTAAATTCTTACATTGTTATTGCAGTGCTGGGTGTGTTTCGCCTGCACGTGACTTTTTGTAATATTTTTGTGAATCACTAAACGTTTTTTTCCTCTCGTGTATTCTAAGTGCATTAAACGTATTTGCAGAATTGTCAGTGTCCTTCTCTGCGGGTGACTCGGCAGGACCGCCTGCCTCTTGCTCAGCTCTGCAGCTGCCTCGGCAGCCCCTTCTCCTCCTCATTGGCACCTTCTCCCCCTGGGCCTGGGGAAGCAGGGTCTGTCACCCAGACCTCCTGAGTGCAAGCGTGGGAGAGAAAGGGATCTTCCTTTTCCCAAAAAAACTCAGCAAAACGACCGGTCCTGGGCCCCACCAGGTGCAGGATCCTCCACAAGCATCTGCCGGTGAAACCCCTTGAGCCAAGGCAGCCTGAGCGCCCTGACAGCTGGGGTTTTCCATGCTGTTAGGACAAGCTGGGATGGGGAGTGCTTGCACGTGGGTCCGAGGACGCGGCCGGTCGGCCGAGGGATGGCAACCTCATCTGCCGGCATGGGAAGGAGGGAGCCGGGGTGAGTGCCGGGTCAGGTCCACACTCCCGTCCTCTGCCAAGTGCCTCTTGGCTTCAGCGGGATTTGCGGGGGTGTGGATGTGCACACGGAGACCGAATATGTTGGAGAAGAGACACAGCAAACACTTATGAAAAATTATTACTGAGCTAATGTTGCAATGATTTCCCAGTAACGCAGAACGATTTTGCAGTAATCTTTTTACACTCCTCGGTAATAAATTCCTTTAAGGTCAGAGAGAGGAAGATTGGAATATCTGGGGGGGAAGGGAGATCACTGTGCGCAGAAGAAGGGTGACAGGGAAGGGAAAAGATGCGTGGGGAGCCAAAATCCAGCTTTGGGCAGGTTTTGCAGTTGCTCTTCAGGGGTGTTATCTCATCCCTCCCTGCATTGAAAAAGGAGCAGTCAGCGGAAAGCGTTCCTGCAAGGATTTGTTTTCTTTTGAAGTTTGGGGTGAAAACCATCCTTTCCCAAAGAAGCTCTCCTGCAGCCCCATCCAGACAGGAACTGTCCCAGCCCCAAGGCAAAGCAGCAGGATCTCCAAGCACCATTGGTGCAGAGAAACCCATGCTGAAGGGAACGTGGCCATATCTCGGCCGAGTTTAATCACGTCACTTGAGGAAAACTTGCTGGTCAACTGGGATCCCCAGCAAGGTTATTTACCTGGGTGGGGACAGGGGGGACAAGAGGCTGCCTGCAGCTGGTCCCCTGGCCTGAGACCCTCTGTGCCTCTCGCCTTCCCAGGCCCTGAAGCATTTGCAAGCACCGGGCTGCCCCACTAGGACATCCCGGCAAGGACGGCAGAGCCAGGACCGGCCAGGGATGCTGCTGCTCACACGGTGCTGGGAACCCTCCCCACCAGCCACTCAGTTAATTTAATTCATGAATTAAATGATCCACTTTCACCATCCTTGCAATGGCCGGGCAGCACCCCCTTTGCAATGGTGCATCCCAGCTGATCCCTCTGTTCAGACCTAAATCCGGAGAGGACCAGGTGTCCCTGGGGACTACAGCACAGCGGAGTGCCCCTCTCCCACCAGCACCCTTCACCCCAAGCCCCACCACCAGCACAGCCATGCCTGGCCTGGGCAGCCTCACCACTCTGCCTCCACCCCAGTTGAAAGCACCTTCAGGCAGTGAATTTAATTAAGGTTTCTGAAAAGCGGTGTCTGGGAGCCCCTCCTGGATCTGCGGCTCTGAACTTCATTAGGAGCGGTTTGTTGCTAATAATGCCGGCAGCTTCTCTAATTAATAATGGAAGGACTGCGAGCAGATGCCAAGCCAGGAGAGGGAAGGGATTTGTTTGTTTATTTCTCTCCTCTGGCTTTTGGTTGGGGTTTTTTTGGAGTGCAGAGGGAGGGCTGGGGCTTGTTTCCCATCTGAAAAGTGAACGGCGGTGCCTGGGAACCTCGATGGGGAAGAGGGTGCACCTGCGGGGCAGGAGGGGGAGACGGGGTGGGATGGGAGATGGATCCCCACAGGGTGGGATGAGGGGGCAGCCCCATGGCAAGGGGCTCCCGCTCTGACGGTGCTCCCTGCCTGCTCAGGGCAGAGCCAATGTGGCCACTGGTTGTGCTGGACTTGGGCACCCAGGGA